TGACCCGCCAGCGTTACTGGCTATGGCAGCTGTGGGATGGAACGCCCCACTGGTGAATCTTGGGGTCACTTATCCTGCCCGCTCCTCCCCGCAGGTGGAGGGTACTCTCTGCTCCCCTCTGTGTGGGATACAAGCTTAGCAGTGGCCTTGGTCTGCACACCAATCCCTGGCAGTGACTGTAAACATGAAGTGTTATCACTGCTAAACCCAGGCAGTTTACAAAAACGCTGCTAACTTCAGACAGGGCAGTTAATTAGAAGAGCTTTAGCTAAAAAGTTAAAATTATTGAACAGAACAGCTCTATTTTACCCTAAACCAGGACAATTTTCCACCACAAACTGAGGTTAGGTGCCTGTGTTTCAGAGAGCCTCAGCTCACCTCTGTTATTCCCATAGACTTGTGTGTTTGGGTTCTCAGAAGTTTTATTAAGATGACTTTTCTGAAACATTAGAATACAGGTCTGGGCAGCTGATCCTTGAAACTGCCTTGTCTGCAAGTTGACACTGTCTGTGAGCTTACTCTTAGTTCATCATCCTTCTTGACTTAATTAGTTGTTTTCTAATGTAATTTTTTTTTAAATGCTGTCTTCACTGATGGCATTTCTTCAAAACTGGGATTCAGGGTCACCATTCTATTGCCAACAGGAGAGCAAAGATACCTTACATTCACTTGGTGAACCCCAGGTAAGATTTTAGGTGTTCTGTTTCCCTTAGCAGCAGCCCGTGCAGTGTTCAGCAACCTCAAGTGTGTTTTTAAGGGCACTCCTGTGACTGGGAGGAGGCTGCATGAAATGCAGTGTGGAATACATGGCTATAGAGACTTTTTTTGGGTTTTGGCATACCATTGTAGTTGCTGTAATGCCACCCTTGTTTCATAGCAAATCTCCACTGTATGACAACTGCTTCCTGCATGCCCCAGATGGACAGCCCCTGTGCACTTGTGATCGCAAGAAGGCTCAGTGGTATCTGGACAAGGGGATTGGAGGTGAGCATTCCAATTTTCTTCTTGCTATTTGAAAGGCAGCTTTTTTCTGTTGTTTCTTAGATAACTGGACATGATTTTTTTTATGTCCTTTCTTATTGGAAATACTGTTGGGGTCGACTAGGAGAACTTCTGTGTTTTATCATTGTTATTTTAGCTTTCCAGTACAAATTTGTCTTGAATATTTTCTCCTTGCCTTTAACCTTTCAGAGCTGGTTAGCACAGACCCATTTGTTGTGAAGCTGCGGTTTGAGCCTTCAGGACGCCCTGAGTCTCAAGTTGATTATTATCTGACAGTCAAAGAGAACCTATGTGTTGTATGTGGCAAGAGAGAATCCTATATCCGGTGAGTTGTTGAGTGGGAGAGGAGAAGAATGCATCTTCTAAAACAGGATTGAGGTCTGCATCTCCTCTGGCATCCAGGAGCTTGGTTAGTGGTCTGAAGCAGCATTTTTGTCACGTCCTGGATGGGCTATCCCTGTTTGAATGCTCTGTAGTCATAATGTGTCTGGGTAAGTTTAACACTGAACAGGCCAGCCTTTCCTCTTACAGAAGCAGAAGGCATCGTTCCTTGGAGGGGACAAAGCGTGTGGAACCTGTGAGTGCTGCAGCTTGAGTGGCAGAGGGCAGCAGTCTGCCCCCACACACTGTTCTGAGGGCATCCCCTTTTGAAAATGGCTGTGCTATTCCTTCCACTACCTAGTCCTTATGTTTTTCAGGTGTTTTGGTGAGCCTGAAGCCCACTGAGGTTGCAAACGGTGAGCTTTTTGTCTCTGCAGCTGCTACTGTTTAGCTGAGAGGTTTGCTTCTCATAGCATATTGCTTTATTTTTTTTTTTTACAGTATGAATCACTGGGGGTTTTAATTGAAAGTGATGATTTTTTTTTGAAAGGAAAAAAATACTAGTGCAGAAAACCTGTGAACTACAAATGAAGGGAAGTGTTGGAGAACCTGTTGCTGCACTGAGGGTCCTGACCCTGGTGATCTTTGTTGTCTTGGACTTCTAGTATTAGCTGACCCTTTGTGGGCCAGGAAGAGGAGGAACTGGGGAGTAGCAGCTCCAGGGAAACGTAACGAGCTGGCTGGTTTGTCTTCCCTAGGAAGAACATTGTTCCTCACGAGTACCGAAAACACTTCCCCATCCAGATGAAGGACCACAACTCCCACGATGTGCTCCTGCTCTGCACGTCCTGCCATGCCATCTCCAATTACTATGACAACCATCTCAAGCAGCAGCTGGCCGAGGAGTTTGGTGCCCCCATCGGCTCCGAGGAAGGTGTGCGCCTGCTGGAGGACCCTCTGCGCAGGCAAGTGCGCTCGGGGGCCCGAGCCCTGCTGAATGCAGACAGCCTGCCTGACCCCCGGAGGGCAGAACTTCTGCAGAGCATCAAGGACTTCTTTAACACAGAGACAGTCACCCCAGAAATGCTCCAGGAAGCAGCTGGTCTTGAAACCAGGTATAACAAGCCCATCAGTAGATGGGACATTAGTCATTTATGTTGGCACGTAAGTTTGATGAAGTGTTGTCTGTGCACAGAGCCTTGAGTAAATATTACTGCAGCAAAATAAAAATCCAGGAGGATTTGCAGAGCTCAGGACCTAACCCCCCCCCCAAGCTTTTTTAATTAAAGACAAAACCCATTATTGGTCTTCTTGGGATATTGATGTATCTTCCCTAAAATAACAGTGTCAAGGAGTGGGTGAATTTGAGACTGCTAGGAGTTGATCTGCACAGAAAAAATCAGCCTCTAAAAGCATAGTTTTGTCACTTGAGTAAGCCTTCAGAGTCTGGATGTATAGTATTTTAATACATTGAACTAGAAGGCAAGGATAGCAAGAAGATAATCTTGTTGTAGTCTAAGGCTCTAAGCAGACAAGCACACTCTGATTTTCTTACTGTGTTTCTGGGTTCGTTTACCCTCTTCTCCCCTCAACCCAGCAGGTTCAGGTCTGTGAACTGCAGCTCTTGTTTCTT